ATTTCATTAAAAATACAAACCAGACAGACTTTCTTTAACTCATCTCAGTTCTGTTCAGATGGGAATGTGAAAAACCAGACTCTCTCGCCATCTGCAGGTGAGTAAACGTCACCGCAGTTTCACTTAAGGTGGAATTAAACATCATAAAAAACTGGAGCACAAAATGAATCAGAATTCAGCCTCTTCAGCCGAGAGCCGGGGGTCTCGCTGCCACTCGAGCAGGTGTGGAGTCGTGACTCAGTCAGTGAGAGGTTTGTTTTGAGCGAGTGTTTCCTGCTCTGGGGGGAACCATCTGTGCGTTTGGTTCAGCTTTGCTGCCCCTCAGCCCCCCCTCACTCATTCCCTTCATGCCTTCCTGTTGTCTCTATTCTTGGCATTAGTAGGTTTCTGTAGGTGAACTGTGAAACACTGCGGGGTTCTCGTCTACGTGAGGACTACTTCACTCTGCAGGTGCAGAGCTCATGAGAAAGTGCTTCAGTTTCGGCTTTAACACAAACATGACTCGTGAAGTTGTGTGCAGATGTTTTGGCACCTCTGGCCACATTACGTTTTGTCGATTTTTGAAGTGAAACAAATCCTTTGCAGGAAACTGTTATACATAAAATAACATTTTTTCCTACAAATATTAAAGCACAGTTACTTTGTATGTTATTTCACTTAAAAATGAAAAAAATATTTTGCACACTCTGCTACCTGCTTAGTAAGTCCACCTTCTGCAGATTTCACAACTCACAAACACTTCTTAGTTCTAGTTCCTGTTCTGTGATTTTCTTGCCTGCACAGCATATTTAAGATCCACACACAGTAGATCTGATGTTCAGTCAGGCGACTGTGAGGGTCGTTCCAAATGCTTCATCTTGCTTTTCCTGGATGAGCTGATGGTGTATTTTGAGGTATGTTTTGGTCTCTTTTCAGATTCAGTTTCTTCACTGACTGTGTCACATTTTCAGAATTGACTGATATTTAGAGGAATCCATTCTTTCATCGACCCATGCAGTGTTTCCTGTCACACTGGCTGCCACATAAACCCAGAGCATAGTAGATTCGTTCCCATGCTTAACAGTCAGCACGGTGTTCCTTTCATCAAATGCTGCTAGTTTTTCTCCCGCCATACCTTTGGTGATCAAGGCCAAAGAGTTACAGTTTTTACTCCATCAGTCCACACCAAAGATGTGTGTGGAGCAAAAAAGGAGCACCATTTGATGAAAGAAACATCGTGCTGACTGTTAATCATGGGGGTAGATCTATCAGCAAATTCTGGAAGCAAATGTGACAGTCAAGAAACTTAAGCTATAATGAGATGTCTGGATCAGGACAATGATCCAAAATACACTTCAAGTCCACCATGAGCTACTTCAAGAAATGTGAGCTGAAGCATTTGGAGTGACCCTCTCAGTCTCCTGACTGAACACCATCAAAACTCTGTGGCTGTGAATGTAAGAGTATCACAAAACTAGAAGCCTTCTGTGAGGCAGAGAGTGAAAACGGTAGTGATTTAGTAGGGTGTCCAAACTTTTGCACAAATCACTGCAACAATTACTATTTTATTTTTTCCAGTTTTTTAATTTGATGAAATATGTGCATCAACTTTTGCAGAAAATGTTATTTCTAAAACAGCTTCTTACTTCCTTCTTTCTTTTTGTTTCAAAAATCAATAAAATGTGTCATTTGGCTGGGGGTGCCCAAACTTTTGCATACAAATGTGTTACATTCAAAGTGTTTTAACTGTTTTGGGGGCCACATGTGTGTCATGGCTGTATGAAGCAAAGTCTCCCTTAGATCTCCGTGACAAGAGTCCGAATGCAAAAGGAGGGTCCCGGGAGACCCCCGGCTGCGGCTTTAGGCAAATGAAGAAGCTCCTGAAAACAAAGCCAGCGCTCAGCAGTGAGCTGACACGCGCCACGTCCCCCTATGGCTGCTTAAACGAGGTAAGTGGTAAACTTTTACACACAGGGTTCTTTCTGTGTTCCGTCCTCCGCAGGTGTGTTCGAAGAGTTACCTGCAGTGTTTCTGTTTTGTTTATGAGATGATCAGACAGGTTTAGGCCCGTCGTCACTCATCTTTGACATCAGCCTTTTTTGTCTGCGTATTTTGAATGTAATGCGTAACACAAACCCACAGGTGCACGTTTACACAGGAATACAACAGTATCACTTTAAAAAGATGGTTCTTCAAGGGTTCTTTAGTAAAGCAAGTGGTCTGTATGGAACCATTAACACTCAAACAACCTTTTTTGCGATTAAAGGGTTCTTTTTATGGTGAAATTGTTCTTCAGAGTGATGGAGAATGTACTGTCTATGGTTCTATATAAACCTTTTTGAAAAGGGTTCTATATAGCACCAAATAGGGTTCTGCTGTTGTTACAGGCTTGATATAATGGAGTTGTTTTAATTGATGCCACTACATTACATAAGGAAGAGTATTTGATTCAAGTTAACCTGACTAATTCCTTACTTGCTGCAGGCGTGAGGATCACCGACAATAAGAAGTAACTATAACTCATATATAAAGTTCCTGAAGCTTAATCCTGTTAATAACTTTACTTAGTTTTTGAGGAAATATGTTTTATAAGTCAACTAATTCAAGTTTACAGTGTATTTAGAACCATTTTCTTTACTAAAGAACCTTAATCTCCTCTAATAGGGTAGTTAAAATGGTTCAAGTGTGAACACGTGCTAATGTCTAGATCCTGATAATGTTGAGATGACAGTTTACCTGTGAGAGGTCCAGTACAACACCTGGGACATTACGGGGAGGCCTATGTGGACGAGGAGCAGGCCGTTCCTCACGCTGCCTGATGACCCACGCTTTTGTCTTTCCACACTGAGACTACTGCAGTGCTCTGATTACGAGATTATATAAAAACACAATAGACCGACTGCACCTCGTTGAGTGGCTGCAGCCTGAAAGCTGATTTAGCATCACTGCACTGGCTGATTGTTCTTCTACAATCGATTTTAAGATTGCTTTGTTGGTTTTTAAAGCTCTTAATGGATTTAGTGCCAGAATTCCTGACAGAAATTGTTCCAATTTGTGTTTCAAGATCATCAAGTGCTGCACAAAATGAAGAGCTGATCTAATGCTGCAAAAATAAAGTACAAAAAGCTCTGGAACAATTCTTTAGAGAAGGACATGGTTCTGTGAACCATGAGCACTCAAAGAACCATCTGCATGACTAAATGGTTCTTCCCATGGTGAAATGGTTCTTCAGACTAATGGAGAATGTGCTATAGATGTTTCTATGTAGAAGCTTTTTGAAAAGGGTTCTATGTAGTACTAAAAGGGTTCTGCTACTGTTACAATGTCAAGCTTGTTACAATAGCAGAACTCTTTTTGGTGCTGTAATGAACAAACACAGCACATTCTCCATCAGCCTGAAGAACCATCTCACCATGCAAATAATGATTTAAGCATGCAAATGGTTGAGTGTTCATGGTTCTATACAGAACTATTTTCTTTACTGAAGAACATCTTTTTTAAACGTTCACCGAAGAGAGTTTTAAGGAGAAGCTAAAAATATATTTCTTTAGTTTGGCTTTATTGTAGCTATGGCTACTTCAGCTTTGATATATTATGTTTTATTTGTTACATGTTGTTATTATTATTATTATTATTATTATTATTATTATTATTATTATGTGTGAACAGATGCTGAGACATTTCCAGTAAATACAGTGATGTCTAGATCACAGTCTAGTCTCTGTGTGGCAGAGCAGCAGGTTTTGACTGTAGACTTTTATAAAAAGTGTTGGGAGAGTATATTTCTGTATTTCTGTATTTCTGTATTTCTGTATTTTTGTATATGGCTCTGAAATGGAGGCGCTGTTGGACACTCGCACTGTTGGACACTCACGCTGAGAACGTCCTCCTGTCTAACAGGACTTCCATGGCGTGTATGATTGAGTGCGTCCCAGTAAAATACAGATTAAGGGCTGCGTGTTTGAATGCAAAGCCTGAAGATTACTGGTAGAAAAGTATCCCGATAACGTCCCAGGTCTGGAGAGTGAAAGAGGCTTTCCCAGCCCTGGTCCTGATCCTGGTCCTGGTGCTGACCTTGGAGATCCAGTGTTCTAAAGTGACCAGCCCCTCACTGAGCGTTATAATGTCTGAGTTCTCCATCAGCAGGACTGAGAAACACTGACAGAACAGTCTGTTAACAGGAGCAGAGATCCACCTGTAATAAAGCAGAGACCACTGACCACTGACCACTGACTCACTTCTGAATATTAAATACTGAATATTGATTATTGAACATTAAATACTAGTGACAACTGAATACTGACTAGTGAATATTTGAATATGAACACTAAATACTGAATACTTAACATGAATACTGAGCACTGAATACTGACTACCGAACATATTTAATACTCAATACAAAACATTGAATACTTAACACATAAAACTGAATACAGATTACTGAATAGTAAATAGTGAAAATTGAATACTTAATTTCAAATATAACTATAAAGCTGATGAAGCAGTGGCTGCTGACTATTGACCACTGACTCACTACTGAATACTGAATACTTAACATGAATACCACAGACATAATACTGACTACTGAATACTTACTACTTAAAACTGAATACACTATTCATTACTGAATAGTGAGTAGTGAATACATAATACTGAATACTGACTACAGCTGAATTCTTTATACTGCATGCCGAATACTATATACTGAGCACTGAATACTTAACTTTGAATACTGAATATTGAATACTTAACATGAATACTGTATACTGGGTATGGAATTCTGACTACTAAATACTGGATACTTAACATGAAATACTGAATGCTGAATAGTGACTACAGAATACTGAATAGTTCCTACATAAAACTGAATACAGAGTACTGAATATTGAATACTGCATACTGATTCCTCAATAACAGCTGCTGGATACTGAATTTTGAATACTGGCTACTGAAAACTGCTGTGTGTCTACAGAATAAAATCAAAGTGCTGTGTTGTGTTTGTGCTTTAGTGTGTTGGTGGTTTGAGCCACACTGTGAGAGTGTGAGTTTCGCACTGTGCAGTAAGTGTAATATACGTGTTCAGGTGTTTTGGTGTTTGGTGATTGGACAGTGAGGAGTGATGGCGCGGTCCTGTACCAGCGGACGCTACTGGGACGGCCTGGTCAAACAGTGCATGTCCTGTCAAATGATGTGTGACAAACCAGAACCTCATGCTCGCTGTACGGACTTCTGTGGTGAGTTACTGACCGAGACGCTGCTCACAGACTGGAACATCACTTTAAATATAAACAAACTGGGGCTGTTTTGTTTAGCGAGTGACTCATTTAATCACTGGATTTTGATTAATTTCATTCTTTAATAGGAAAATCATGTTTATCTTGTTGTTGCTGTGAAGCATTGAAGATCACACTCAGAACAAAACACCACAGGGACACAGTCTAACAAGGCGAAAACACAGCATCTCCCTGTAAAAGCACTGAGGCGTGCAGCTACACATTCAGTCATCTCTGATTAAAATCTTACCACAATGACTGAATATGAATGATATGATTCATATACTTCACAAAATGATTCATATTCAAAATACATGCTCAGTGTTGTTACACTGAAAGCTAACAGAGAAATGATTAATTTAATATTATAAGGCTTATAATCTTGGATGGTATTAAACTGTTTGTGTTGGTCTAAGACAAAATACTAGACTTTGATTTTTTACTAAGACATAGGTTTTTAGACATTCTTACTATTTTATATTGCTATTACTTTCATATGTATATATCCACTGATCAGGCGTAACATTCTGACCACCTCCTTGTTTCTACACTCATTGTCCATTTTATCAGCTCCACTTACTATATAGGTGCACTTTGTAGTTCTACAGTTACAGACTGTAGTCCATCTGTTTCTCTGATACTTTGTTAGCCCCCTTTTACCCTGTTCTTCAGTGGTCAGGACCCCCATGGACCCTCACAGAGCAGGTACTATTTGGGTGGTGGATCATTCTCAGCACTGCAGTAACACTGACGTGGTGGTGGTGTGTTAGTGTGTGTTGCGCTGGTCTGAGTGGATCAGACACAGCAGTGCTGCTGGGAGTTTTTAAACACCTCAGTGTCGCTGCTGGACTGAGAATAGTCCACCAACCAAAAATATCCAGCAGCACTGCTGTGTCTGATCCACATATGTGATATATATATATTTTCATATGTATAAGTACAAGTATGTCATATTGATACAAGGAACAAAAATAGTAGTGAAGTAATAGAGATACATTTATATTAAATGTAAAATAAAATCTCCAAAACAGTAAGTTTACAGGAGAGGGCCAAAACACCCTTACCTTCCAATGCAAGTCAATGTAAAGAGATTTCATTCCACGCAATTTTGGAACATTTCTATTGGTCCAAACGTCACAAAATTTAATGTAAACGGGCAGCTGATGAGCTCAACTTGTGCCGAAATGTAAAGATAGTAAAAAAAGACATATATACATAATTCCAATACACAAGCTGTCCTTTACATTGTGTGAAGATTTCATGATGATTGGACCAATAGAAACCCTCTAAAATCAGTTGGAATAAAATCTCTTTACATTATCTTACACTGAAAGGTACGAGTGTTTTTTTGAAGATACTTGTTTTTCTTTGGACAGTGATGATATTTATTTATTTTTTTTTTTGTTTGTTTGTTTTGCAGTGGCCTATGGCTGTAAGGCTGTATCTGGCCAGTTCTATGACCAGCTGCTGAAGAAGTGCTTGAAATGTTCGGAGCTGTGTGGCCACCACCCGTCAGAGTGCTCGCGAGAGTGCCCAAGTAAGTACACACTGGGCATGTCCCAAATTCACTGGTGCTCCCTATATTACTCACACAGTAGTGCACAACGCTGTTTATCAGACAGGAGGTTCTGATTCAGCCATGAGTCACTCAGAGAAGCCGTGAGTGATTGTCAGACTCTCTCAGTCGAAACTCCAGCAGAGTTAGAAATGTGTCAAAACGTCCAGAGACTCTGTCGACTCCAGAGCCTCTTCTGAAATGAAGGATGAAGGTGTTAATAGTGAATCTGTGCTGCAGTATCAGCCTCTACTCTACTGGGAAGGCTCTAGATGTTGAACATTGCTGTGAGGATTTGATTGAGCATTAGTGAGGTCAGGGACTGATGCTGAATGGTCAGTTCTGGACACTCCAACTCATCCCAAAGGTATTGGATGGAGCTTCATCACTCCAGAGAACACAGTTCCACTGCTCCACAGCCCAATGCTGGGGGGCTTTAGACCCCTCTAGCCCACGCTTGGCACTGGGCCTGGAGACCTTAGGATCATGTACAGCTGCTCCAGAGTGTCCCATTCTATTGGTCAGTGCTTTTCTATGGAGATTATACAAGGTTTGTCTGTGATGGGTGACCTTAAAGTAACAGAAGTTACAGTAGCAGAATTCACCCATAAGGAGGGCTGTCCGGATAGTTTTGGACATATGCTGCACTTAAAGGCATTATAAAACAAGAATTTCATGTCATTTGTGGTGTAGAGCACCCCTGCAACCCTGAGCCTCATGCGTTTGAAAGAATTTGTGATTTTATATTGTATTCATGTTTTTATCCATTCTCTCACTACATTACCCAGCATGCAACACACAAATACATTAAACAAACATTGGGAACCTCATCTACTACATTAATTCAAGTCTGCTGATGTAGCGGCTAATAAATAAAGACATATATTCGACTTTCGTAGCAGAAAGCTTATCTATCTGCCTTCCGAAAACATATTTCAAAAGTTCTTCCTACCTTCATCATCATCCTAGTATTGAAAATGGAAAATCTCACTGTATTTATTAATTTATTTCATTTTATTTGTTTGTTTAGCAGGTACAACACAGATAAACATCTAGCTTAAGCTAATTTGCAGCCCCAGTCTCTGATTAGGCCTTAAAAAAAACTAAAATTAACAAAATAAATAAATAAAAAGAAAAAAAGAAAAAAGTTAAAATAGCAAATAGCACAACGTATGGAGATCAGGAGTCTCCAACCACCAGCCATGAGACAGCTTCATACAGCTTCAACACTTCACTAGCACTAACTTCACCCACATTCAGCAGGAATGATAATGTCTTCAAAATAAGAGCCCCATATAATTAGACTGTCATATGTAAGTTTACTCTAAAATAAATATATCACTGCTGTCAGAACAAAACCTCCAAAATGGTCACTTTACAGGAGAAGGAAAAGTATACTCTACTTTCAATGGAAGTCAATGGAAGCAGACTTTGTTCCAAGTCATTTTGGGTCGTTTCTTTGGTTCATTCATTATGAAATTTATACACAATATAAATAATATAATGTCAAAAACTGAAAATAATGGAGATACAAGGTCTTGTGCTAACAGCAGTGTATATATTAAATACTATGAATTTATACTACTACTACTACTACTACTACTAATAATAATAATAATAGTAATAACAATAATAATAATAATAATAATAATAATGCTTTATTTTAGGTGATTTGAAACATCTGTTCTAGATACTACCGCAGCACCACTGCTGGTGATGAAGCAACAGTTCTGTTTTTCGTTTCAGCTGGCGTTCTCTTTAATCTCAGTGGTGTCGAAACCCCAGCGGGATATGAAATATCATTTTTGACTCAAACTCATATTACACAGCAGATTACAGGAAGGCAGAAGTTCTGCCCAGAACAAGTGCTGCTGTTTCCGTGCTTTCTGCTTACTCACTTCTGTCTGACTGAAACTCGTCTGTCTGTGGCAGCGACCACCAGGCCTACAGGAGTCTCTGCACTGCAGCCGCTGAACACTAGAGGGAGCCACGAGATCAGAGGCGCGATCTACTCAGAGGCGCTGGTGTACTCTCTGCTGGGCCTGTGCCTCGCCATGCTGCTCAGCACCATGATCGTGGCCCTGCTGGTGCTGCTGAAGAGGGCCCAAGTGCAGAAGGAGCGCGGAGAGAAGAAGCCGCAGCAGCCGGACGGACACAGGCAGACCTCCAAAGGTACGGTAGACCGCTGAGGGGTCTGGATTCGCCTTTAATCGTCCGTCTCTGAGCATTTAAACATCAATTCACACGGTCTGAGACAGAGAAACGCTATTTTAGACGATGGCAGTCTGAGAACAAAGAAATGAGCACTCTGTATGATGGACATGCAGCAGTTCAAACACAGCCATATGCAAAAGTCACTTCTGGTAAAATGACATGTTAATGAGCATGAGCTCCTCTAGAAGCCCTTCTTTATTAACATCTCTATAAAGAACTCACTTAAACACGGCAGTGTTCTGCTAATTTTAGTGCCTATTTTCTGTTTGTTTTAGTTTAACATATTGGAAAAATACAAACTCAAATGAACCAAAACTGCTGCAGTTTCATAATTAAACTCAGTAAATGAACAATAATGGTGCCTTAAAATCTGCAGAAAATCAACAAAAACTTAGAATTTGAAAAAAAAAAACTTTGGAATTTGAAGAAAAAACTCACTTTGAATATGAATTTCTTACAATTGTTTCTGTTATTGTGGGGATTATGTGTTCAGATTCAGAGCTCGAGAGCTGTTTATACTTACTGTACATGTGTAGTGTTACTTCAACACCATCAGAACACCGTCAGATCACCTTTAAAACACCTTTAGAACAGTTTTAGAACACCATCAGAACACTGTTAGAACATCTTTAGAACTCGTGTGGTCTGTTCTGAAGGCCTGTTGAAGCTCCTGGTCTGTGTGCGGTGCTGATGGTCTTTTAGAGACTGTTTTTTGCTCTATGATGAGTTTTTGGCTCCTTCTGAGGTTTAAATGCTCATCTAACTCTCATAGTTACAGTTATGGGTTAAAATCATGGTCAGTATCAAAACTGGAACGTGTCACGTCTTCTGCGAGTATTTTTCTCTGTGGTTTTGGTGAATTTCTGCCACCCAATCGTACTGAAAACTTTGTTAACCAAAAGTTGTTGGTTAATCACCCCGTCGGCCTGCTGGATCATCACTGCTCAGAGTTCTGGGATGTTATCATTCACAGATGAGCCCAGATGCATTAATTATGGTTAAATTAGAGTTTTCTCCATTTCGGCTTGTCAGTGCTGTTAGACGGAGGCCTCTCCTGCAGAGGTCAATGCAGCCAATGCAGTGGTGATTTTGGTTGAAGATACAAATTTGTGCAACAAATTTTGCCAAAAAATTCCACACAACATTTTGCATGTGAAATTTATTTTAATAAATTGAGTAAAAATAAGCAAAAAGAAAACAAACACATTCACAGTTTCCGCTGAGTCAGCTCAGCTTTGTAGACGTAACTTAGATACAATACTAAAAAACTAGGTTAGGAGACTAAACAAGTTAAGAAAACCAAAAAAACTATTCAGATGTTTGACTTCTAATTAAATAACTTGGCCTGACTTTATTATTTACAGTGACCCCAGTTTGACCCCCTGGTCTAAAGCATAGCTTATTTTTAATCGGTATAAAAACAGATGAAATGCAGTAATGAGTGACGAAACATCTACTTGTTGCAGACTGTCTGATGGCAGAGGCCGTCACTCAGGAGGCCAATGGGGTGGTCCCAGACAGACCCCGGGCTACAGAAACCTGTGTGCACTGCTTCGCCGAGCAGACGGAGGCGCTGCACGCGCTCTACCAGCAGGCCGTCCCGCAGTGCCTAAACGGAGACCCCCAGCGCCGCCACCACTACACCAACGGCGTGGCTCACGGTCACGCCAGCAGGACCATGTGTGAGCGGGACGACGCTCTGAGGATCATCTGCTCACCCACCCAGACCAGCATCTGAGCCACGAGGCCGTGCAGGTGCTCCTCAGGCTGAGGGCTGGAGTGCTTTGAATGTGGTTTGGACTGAGAGTATCTGAGCCCATTGGAGCACACCACCTCAGGAACTGAAAAACGTGCAGGGGGTGACCGCATGGAAACGTGAGCACGAGTGGTTTGGTGGTGCAGTGAGTTTCAGTGGCGTCAGGTCACATCCTGGAGAGGAGCAGGGAGCATAGTGCTCAGGGTCAGAGTGACAGTTTGGTAAAAAAATTACATTTATGTTTGATGTCTGAAGTTAGGTTTTTTAGTTTTAGGAGCTACGAGGCTAATGGAGCTAACAAGTATTTAATAATTATATAGTAATTATATAATAATTATTAAAATAACTCAGTGTGTGAGATGTAAGCAGAGAGACTCAGAGTGGTTTGGTGTGAAATGGTTCAGACGTCTTTACAGTGGTGGTGATAGGAACCAGGGGTCGCCATGACTACAACACAGATATAGACATTTTATTTACTATCCAGAACCACCAGTGAACCTACACGAGTCTTCTGAGTCTATATGGAATGTTGATGATGGAAAATAGTGGAAAATCTGAAATAATAAGTTTTCTTTGGGGACTATTTTGCCTCACAGCGCCCTGCATGTATCCCTCCACCATGAATGGAGTTTAAGTTCTCTAAACTACCATAAAACAGTGTCTCAGTCATCAGGCAGTGAATTCATAACCATTTACTGTAGGAACTTTCTGTGAGGGAGCTTTTAGAGGTGGACGTCTGGTTCCTATCACCACCACTGTGAACAGTTCTGACTCGGTAAAACTAGAAAAAACAAAACTTTGTTTTTGCATGTTATAATTGTGTAATCATAGTTCAATGCATTTTCAGCATTTTGGGGAGTTTTATGGTGGGGGTTGGGGGGGGGTCAGAACAGTGTCCATTAACTATGAAACTAAAGTGTGTGTGTGTTTGAGTTTATCCTGTGCAGGACGATGATGAATAACCCTGTTCAGCTGATTTAGTTGAAATGAAAATCCTGTAAACAGACATCTTGACCCACCATCAGGGCAAGATGTCCTGTTGCCCTGGGTAAGAAGCCCCTTTTACATCCTGCATGAATTGTAATCTGATTTTTACAGAATAAAACAACATTTGATACGTGTGACTGATGAGTACAACTGGTTCCTGCACAGACAAATTAGACGTGAATTTAACTATGAAGTATTATTTAAATATTAACTGCAAACAGATGATTACATTTATTGACTAATAACTAATAAACTGACAGTTGCTGAGTTGCTGTGTCCAGCATGTAACTTTGTGTCTTTATGATGAAAATCTAAATCATAATTTGGGGCAAATATGCAGTGACTGTTTAAACAATCTGGTAACACACACTAACACACCACCACCACGTCAGTGTTACTGCAGTGCTGAGAATGACCCACCACCCAAATAGTACCTGCTCTGTGAGGGTCCATGGGGGTCCTGACCACTGAAGAACAGGGTAAAAGGGGGCTAACAAAGTATCAGAGAAACAGATGGACTACAGTCTGTAACTGTAGAACTACAAAGTGAAACTATACGGTCAGTGGAGCTGATAAAATAGACAGTGGGGGTCAAGTTCTTATACAAACTGATCATTTAAAGTGATAAATTACTCTTATCCCCAAAAAAGAGGGGAATAATCTCAGGAATGCAGTGATCCAGAGGACATTTCTGAATTAACTTAGACCACAGAGATTCAGTAAATGTGACGAAATTAGACTTGATCCCATACATTTACAGCTTTTATCCAGCTGGAATTACTAAAGTGATTTGTTGTCCACTCAGAATGTATCCTAGCTAGAACAAATAGGTTAGAGTACAAACTACCCCTGAGCTCAAACACTGCCAGAAAACAAAAGCCAGCACTGTTTCAATTTAATTCAGTTCAATTCAATTCAATTCAAGTTCATTGTGGTTATACATACACAGGGAGTACAGTATACTGAAACACATTCTGGCTACTCCTCTATACACTTAAAGAAGAAAATGGTTCTACATAGAACCATGAACACTCAAAGAACCCTTTGCATGATTAAAGGTTTCTTTGCATTGTGAAAGTATTCTTCAACTTTATGGAGAATGTGCTGAATATTATCTATGTATACATAGAACCATATACAACACATTTTCCATCAATCTGAAGAATGCTTTCATGATGCAATGAACCCTTTAATCATGTAAATGGTTCTTTGAGTGTTCATTAAGAGCAAGGTGGGAACTATTCAGTTGGAGGCGTGGCTGTGGCGTTAGAGGCGTGGCTGTGGCGTTAGAGGCGTGGCTGTGGCATTAGAGGCATGGCTGTGGTGTTGGAGGTGTGGCTGTGGTGTTGGAGGCGTGGCTGTGATGTAAGAGGCGAGGCTGTGGTGTTGGAGGCGTGGCTGCAGTGTTGGAGGCGTGGCTGCAGTGTTGGAGGTGTGGCTGTGGGCTTGTTTTTTTTTGCTGAGGCTGATGGGATGGAGGTCTTATCTCCATCAGCCTGAAAGCTCCATCACAGAGAGCTGAGACTGTTTGCTCGGCTTCGTCTCCACGTGCTCTCTGTTTTTATTTCTCACAGACGTCACAGTCCCTCAGCCCCTCAGTCCACCTGACCGGACGAGAGAGAGAGAGAGAGAGAGAGAGAGAGAGAGAGAGAGAGAGAGAGAGAGAGAGAGAGAAAGAGAGAGAGAAAGAGAGACAGGGAGACAGAGAGAGAGAGAGAGAGAGAGAGAGAGAAAGAGACAGAGAGAGAGAGAGACAGCGAGAGAGAGAGAAAGAGAGACAGAGAGAGAGAGAAAGACAGAGAGAGAGAGAGAGAGAGGAGACAGAGAGAGAGAGAGAGAGAGAGACAGAGAGAGAGAGAGAGAGAGACAGAGAGAGAGAGAGAAAGACAGAGAGAGAGAGAGAGAGAGAGACAGAAAGAGAGAGAGAGAGAGAAAGACAGAGAGAGAGAGAGACAGAGAGAGAGAGAGAGAGAGGGAGTCTCTAAAATACAGTATTTATATGCAATAAAATGCAATAAAATATACAATCTTTAAAAAGATGGTTCTTCAAGGATTCTTTAGTAAAGAAAACGGTTCTATATAGCACCAAAAAAGGTTCTTCTATTGTTAAGTGGTCAAGATTGTCAAGCTATATAGAACCATAAACATCACATTGTCCATCAATCTGAAGAACCATTTAATTATGCAAAGGGTTCTTTGAGTGTCCATCGTTCTATACAGAGCCACTTTCTTTGCTAAAGAACCCTTAAAGAACCATCTTTTTCAGTGAATACCTACTTTTTTCCATTTTTCTTATTATTTCATGCATTAGTGATCTGAATTTCATGGTTCTCCTGTGTGTTCCTGAGTTCCTGTAGAAAAACTCCTGATAAAACATGAATACAGTAAAACTGAATTATTCTGATAACGTGTTTATTCAGGCTGTTTCAGAGACGAACACACACCTGACCTGTCACAGCGGCCGGGCTCACTCTCTTCTGCTCCACTCAGAATATTTTCAGTTTGATCTTTAATATTCTGGGTTAAATATTGACTCCGTCCACTCGTGAGTCAGAGCAGAGAACCTCAGTGAGCTGTTTGTTTATGTGAGGCTGCTTATCAGATAAAACGAGGGGCGCCTTTTCTTTTGTTGACAGAACTGAAGCCAGTGAGGTTAAAGATCAGGTGAATCCCTCTGATCTGGGCTCTCGTACTGATAGACCATGTTCAAATTGATGTTTCTCGGATTTGAGTGTGTGGGCAGGACAGAGCAGGTGAGCGTCCAGGAGCGCCGGACTGCCAGGAGTGCCGCTCTGCTGCCCGTTTTTGATGCCCCCTCTGTTTGTAGACTGTAGTCTGTAGCGTCAGTGTTCAGATGTCCAGTGTGTGTCCAGTATGAAAATGCCAGTTACAAAATGTTCCCATTTCATGATGAATGGAGCAACAGAAACTCCAAACTCACTCCATTATCTCCCATTCAGAGTTAAGGTTTGTTCTCTGTTCGTTTGTTTTGTATTGTGTGTGTTTTGATGTTTCCCTGCTGGCTGAGGAGTTTTCCATCATATCCATCAAGATAGCGGCCGAGAGTGATTTTCCACCTGTGGCTCAGAGGCTTTTAGGGCTGGATGTTTGGGTGACGCCACATCACAGCTATGATGCAGCCTGGACTGGCTGCTTGAGTGATGCTGTATCACGGCTACAAGGCTGTCTGGGCCGGCTGCTTGGAGTACGCTGTACTGCAGCCATAGGGCTGCCTGGAGTGGTGGTGTTCAGCTGCAGGAAAATGCCACCCCTTGTGTGTGTGTGTGTGTGTGTGTGTGTGTGTGTGTGTGTGTTCTGTGTTGTTTTGTTCAGTGTTGATTATGTATTTTGCTACTTTCTGATTGTAAAGTGTCCTTGAGCATCGGAAAAGTGCTATATAAATAAAAGCGATGATGATGATGATGATGATGAAGAATTAAACCAAACAATTTGCTGTCACTGAAGCATCAGCGCTGCTATGGTGAGTGAGTTAGCAGCCAGACAACACTGGAGTAGCCAGACAACACAGGACCTCCTGAAGACCAGGGGGTTTTTCACACACTGATGTTCATGTGTGAGAAATACAAGTTAGAAATAAGCAAATCAATGTATGCAATATATTACGTATCTTTGAAATCCATATACTGCCATACATACATATGGATAAATACTAAATCACCCATCTAATCACACAGACGTCTGCTCCAGGGTGGGTGAGAGCTCTGACAGATCCCCTGGTTACTAACTCTGGATGTACCTTCATGCAGAATCACCAGAGAACTTCAGTGGAATCTGAGACTGAGTGTGCTGCTGCGCTTTTGAATGCTACACTCTAAAAAGCTCTCTGGATGAACTCGTTCAACTCAAACTCAAAGAACCTCCAGAGGACCTAGTTTACCCCTCCATGCACAATCCCACTTCCTGCTGTATCTACTCTAAAGGCACTCTTACTCTACAGTAATACAGGCAGCCTATAGACACACAGCGGAGAAAGGACAGATCACTGGGTTCATTCAGAACTTTGTAAATGAAGTTCACAGAATAAAACGTATTTATCACTGAATCCCTCAGAAGCGCTGACCCTCTCATCCTGCAGCCCCATCCATCCACACTCACACCCAGTGACCTTCAGCTGAGAGGAGGACGGTCGAGTCAGGAGACGATGGAGAACAGAGAGGAAGGAGTGCATCACCTGCTCTCATCATATCAGTTATTAATATACAGTACTCAGAAATATCATTAACCATTTCCAAAGCTCTCCTTAAAGAAGTCCAGTATTCACAGTTACCATCCATTATTAGTTTATCTAATCAATACTTCATTAAATGAAATGAGCTGATGGAACTGAACAAATCCATACTGGAATTCAGTGACAAGTCAGGAACCAAATCTGTTTTCTTCTAACCTACATATTCATAACTTCACCGAAAACAACACAATCTGCCTACTTTATTAAAAAATTGAAGACTGTAGAATAACAAAGACTTAGTCTTTAAACTGATACAATAAGATGAGCCATGCTTTTTTCAAAAAGCCTCAGTTGTCATACAGGCTGCTTTTCTCGACACTGATGGTAAAACACCTATGACTTTTGTTGGTATTTGGTGTTTTTACGTCCATGTTAGGATGTTATGTGTATCCATTTCACAGTTCTTCCATTCAGCAGAGTCCTGAGACAGAGTGTAAAGTAGAGGGAGATGAAGAGGCGGAATACCAGCACAAGTCCTTTTTTTGTTGACAGCCATTATGAAAGAATCCACAAACAACAAAACAATAAGAACTCTCACTAATAAAATACTACGACAGAAAGGAAACAAGATTAAAGAGGACTAGAAAACAAACGGGAGAGAAAGCACAGACACGGAACAAACCAGAAACACCTGGGACTAATGAGAGGACAGGGGCTACAGACAGAGACAGGTGAGACAGATGACAAGAAGGCAGGACTGGGGAGGAGACACAGATTAGAACAACAACAAAAGACATGAAACAAGAAAACAAAGATGAAAGCAGAGGAAGAAAAAGGACAGGGCAAGATAGGATGTTACCTCTCTCTCTCTCTCTCTGTCTCTCTCTCTCTGTCTCTCTCTCTCTGTCTCTCTCTCTCCCTACTTTGATTGCAACAATTTAAGTTAATCTGCATCTACTCTCTTAACTTCAAAAATAAAAATTCAAACATTTTATTATTTATGTATTTAATACTTATGTTGAGTGAATATAAACTGCACTCACTTCTGTTCTGGCGAATAATAAACAACCTTACTCTCTAATTTTCCCTTGAATGCAGTTTCTCCCGAAAACTGCCTTCTTTTTGTCTATAAACCATTTAAAAATGACAGAGAAATTGGCGTTTTGGTGAGCTGTAGTCACATGATTTACCAGGCAGAGTTAGTGTGAGTAGCCAGGCTGTGTGGTCAATGCTTTTTCACTCAGTGTAAATAGACACTGCCTTCTTAACAGGCCACAAACACTCTGGACATTTTAATATTAGCTGTCCAGAGTTTGGCAGAATCAGAACCCCAGTAATTTCTGTTGTAAATACAAATTAAAATAATAAACTAATCACCCAGAAACATCCAGAAAGTTAAATAAAGATCGAAAAACAAGATTGAAACCTATTCAGATTTTAATTGCATGCATCATCATTTATCTGAACTCTGACTGAATGTCTGAGTAAATGTGTCTTATATGCACTCTGTTCGTTTTTAAGCATGTCCTGTATGTCATTGTGTGCACTGCCAAACGGAATTTCTCATATATTCATTTTGACAATGATGTGTTTCTGATTCTGATTTTTGATCCACAAAAAAAGCTAATTGTTGGCTCAGTTGTGCTGATAAATTACATACACTCACTCATCCAGACACTAATATATACAGCAGTGTAGGGCCTAAAAACAGCTGCTCATCTCTGCTTTTGTTCTTTTGGTTTGGAGATTAATTAGGTAAGGAACACGTTTCTGTATTGGACTGAAGTGACTCATTCTTGAAAACTTTCCAGTTTAGGTCATAGTCAATGGTGTGAATCCAGTTTCACTGCATGTCTGTCTGCTTACAATAGAATCTGATCACGCTCATCAGACACACACTTGTGGTGATGAAAGTGTGTAATCAGGTTCAGTCATCACTTTCCATTTATCCCCTTTTATTCCTGTCATATGGCGCTCTGAACAGCGGCGGCGTGCCTCAGGGCTCTACCCTGGGGCCCTGCTATTTGTGATTCTTTCCTACTTTCTTTTTTCCGCTTCCCGTCTTTAATTAGCATAGTTTACTGCCCTGATGACGTTTCTTTGTAGTTACAGAAAACCTTAAAGCTTGTTAGGGGTGTGGCTAAACAGACCACAGTCTGGGATATCAGTGTTAATATCATATCAGTCATAATGTTCAGCCATCAGCAATGAGAAGTGTTACTCTGACCACTTTATCACAACACCCCCCGTAGCTCCCCCTTGCTGGTGTACAGTTAGTTACCATCTGCTGATGCACAGTTAGTGTTGTTTTTCTTTTGCCCCTCATCGGTGCTCAGAAACTGTGGATATGTTTGGGTGGTGGGCCACGCCAAACATGGCCAGTTCCAGAGGGGGATTTTTGGGCTGGGAGTCACATGAAGCAGATCATTCCACCCCAACCTGCAGCTGTACTTCCTCTGCTGCCTTTTAGTCAAGTCAAATTTATTTGTAAAGCGCTTTTTACAACTGATGTTGTCACAAAGCAGCTTCACAGAAATCCATTAAAGACAAAGTTTCAACATGAAATGTAAATCCTCCAGCTGAGCAAGCCAGGAAAAACTCCCTCAGAGCTGAGGAAGAAACCTTGGGAGGAACCAAGGCTCACATGGGGGGACCCATCCTCCTCTGGTCAAACTACCTACAGAATTATTATACTACTAATATTAATAGTAGTAGTAATAGTTAGGAGTCCATGAAAACTTCAGTGTAGAGTGGGAGTGGGCAGCTAGTCCAAGTCAAGTGGCGGTAGCTGGGCAAGTGGCAGTGACTGGGGCGTGGTAGCAGGAGAGCTCCACAGACAATCATCCATCAGTGTCCGTCCGGCAGGTGGGCAGTCGTTTACTCGGAAAAAGGTAGGGAGATGGAGTTAGTTCTGTTCTGTTTGAGTGTATGTAAAACAGAGATTGTGAACATTTCCAGAGTGTGGCTAATGACTCCGGCAAATCTGACTACAACAGCTTAACTAAAAGGAGAGAACCAAAAGGGCACACAGACACGGGAGCACCCTGAAACAATCTGGCATCCCTCCGCTCCACCGTCCACAACCTGAGTGATCGCATGCGAACTTTTAGCCCCGTCTTATCAGTATCATTTGTCTGACATTGTTCCGTCGCTGCAGTAAAGAACAAGAAGAATACAAACAGACAGTAAAAGCCTTTTAGAGTAATAAAAGCTCTTGGATGCAATAAGCAGGCCTAGATCACAAGACAGCATTGTAGTAGATTACACACACAAACACAGGGCGAGTGCTTTACAAAGCCCTTAGTTTACTACAAATGCTAATAACTAAGTAATAGCTGAGTTATTAGTAGTCTCACAGGGCCAGACA